ATGTTCATTTATTACTCCGCTATAGATAATCTTCCTGAAGAAGATTATCCATTTAGTACTCTGTTGAAGTTTATCTACAAGCAGCTGATGCAGGCAGGTTGCAAGCAGCTCAATGAAATGATTTGCAGCAGCTTCTTATTAAACAGGCAGGTTGCAAGCAGCTCATGCAGACAGCTTACAAGCAGCTAAAGAAAAGCCTTGCAGCTGCTTCCTGAAAAGCCTCGCAGCTGCTTCCTTTCTTCTATAAATAGAGGAGTTTTCAGTTCATTATGTACATGAATTTGAAGTTGAATAATATATTAGTTTCTCTCTATACTTGTCTTTACTTTACAGTCTTTATTTTATAACAAAAAAGAATATTTAATGTCTAGGTTCATTCTTTTTGTTTAGTTGCATTTCAACTTCATTTTTGTATTGCTTGAATTCCTCAATTGCTTCATTTTTACTATTAAGTAAGTAAATATAGCAATATCTAGTACTGTGTCAATAAAAGTTATGAAATACTTTTTTTCACCGCGAGATGGTATTGACTTCATGTCTCATATATCTGTGTGAATTAAGTCTAAAGGATTTGAATTCCTTTCAACTGACTTATAAGAATGTTTAACATACTTTGATTCCACACATATTTGACATTTCGAGTTATTGCATTCAAACTTAGGCAATACTTCCAAATTAATCATTTTTGCAAAGTTTTGAAGTTGACGTGGCCTAATCGTTCATGCCATAAATTAATTGACTCAAGCAAGTAAGAAGAAGCTAAAATTATATTCATATCAATGAAAATTACATTGTGTTTGAAAAGGCCCTCTGTAAGGCAGCCTTTTCCTACATACATTTCATTCTTACTAATAACAACCTTGTCGGAAACAAAAGCATACTTAAAGTCATTCTTGACTAGAAGTGATGTCGAGACTAAATTCTTCCGCATTCCAGGAACATGAAGGACATCATTTAGAGTCACAATCTTGCTAGAAGTCATCTTCAAAGTTATCTTGCCCGTTCCTTCAATTTTTGCAGTAGCGAAATTTGCCATAAAAACTGTCTCGTTGGGTCCAACGGGAACATAAGAAGTAAACAACTCCTTGTTAGCACAAATATGACGAGTTGCCCCCGAATCAATCCACCATTCTCTAGGATTTCCGACTAGGTTGCACTCCGAAATCATGGCACATAAATCGTCTATTTCATCATTCTTCTCAATCATGTTGGCTTGACTTTTTTTCTTGTCCTTCTTTTGTGCACGACATTCAGCAGCCTTGTGTCCAACATTTCCATAGTTGTGGCAATTACCTTTGAACTTCTTTTTTCTTGGGTAATTCTTTGGACCAGACGACTTCTTTCTCTTTTTGCTCGTTGAAGCTTCCTCAACAATATTTGTACCCATAATTGTTGAATTTTCACGAGACTTCTTCTCAGCAGCCTTGTTGTCCTCTTCAATCCGTAGACGAACAATAAGGTCTTCAAGCATCATCTCTTTGCACTTATGTTTTAAGTAATTCTTAAAGTCCTTCCATAGCGGAGGCAGCTTTTCAATAAATGCCGCAACTTGAAACGCTTCATTTATGACCATACCTTCAGCAAGGAGGTCATGAACAATAACTTGCAATTCTTGGACTTATGTTATGACAGATTTACCGTCAACCATTTTGAAATCCAGAAATTTAGCGGCCACAAACTTCTTTAATCTAGCATCTTCAGTTTTGCAATTCTTTTCAAGAGCATTCCACAATTCTCTTGATATTTTCATGACTCTATAAACATTGTACAAGTCGTCTTCCCAGCAACTTAAAATATAGTTTTTGCATAAGAAGTCAGAATGCTTGCATGCCTCACTGACCACAAATCGCTCATTTTCAGGAGTTTCTTCTCCCAGAATTGGAACGTCTTCGCTGATAAAGCGCTGTAAACTAGTGTGGTCAGGTAGAAGAACATTTTCTACTGCCAATGCTTAAAGTCCACACCGGAAAACTTTTCAAATTTTTTCTGTCGGTGCCATCGCCGGTGCAGGAGTTGTGCGACTTGAAGACGCAGTTGCCATTGCAGCAGTAGTCCCAACATAACCATTTTGTTGTTCCGCACTTGTTGTCATTTTTCTGTAAAAGAAATTGACAAACAGAATTAGTATCTCGGTGAAGTTTTTATATCTTCAAACCGAATACAAGCAACCGAGTTTTTATATCTCGGATTGAGTAGAAAGTCACAAGCACTTTAATCTCAAACTGGAGTAGAAAATCCGAAGATTTTAATCTCCAAAATGGGAGTAAAAAATCAATAAGATTTTAGTCGCCCAAAACAGAATGTAAGATGAATACAAAAATAAATATTAAATTCTTTAAGCTTGTTGTCACTCTGTATTCAAAACCACTAAATCAATAAACGTTAGTTTAAGAAGAAAAAAAAAGCAGAGAAAATTTCGAGCCCACAAGTTTCTTGTGTTTCCTTAAGGAATTTAATCCCCTCACAATGCCCAAGGTTGTGGATTAATTCCTCCCAGGATAGAACGGAATAACTATTCTGTGATAGCGGCACTTCAAATCACAGAATTTTGGCGAACTCAAATGGCGGAACAAATCACACAAAATGCTTACGTTTTGCTTTTAAATAATCAATGCAGTATGTAGAAAATTGAGGGGAGAGATTTCAGATTTTTCAGTGGTAGAAAATGAGGCTAAGCCTCTCTATTTATAGACAATGAAAGGGTGAGATGAAGAGCTGCAATCCAAGAGGTGCCTCTTCCATTTCACATTCGCACCCCAATGAAAGGGTGAGATGAAAATGTGCAATTCAAGAGGTGTCTCTTCCATTTCTCATTCACACCCAAGAGGTGCCTCTTCCATTTCCCATTCACACCTCTTAATAAAAATGCAACAATATCTTGATGCTATGATCATTGGAAATTACGTGGATGAAGATGAAAGGAACTCCTTAACAACCATAATTTTTTAGGCGTTTAAATTATTTATACTATTAGTTTATTTTTTTTTATATATTATCAGGACAATCAAAAAATATTTATAGTGAATCTTCTCAAAATATGGGATTTACAATATTGAAAATAAGATATGTCACTTACTGCAATAGGTAACTAATCTAATGGTGCAAAAATTCCTTACAATGACAAAACTTGAACTCATTTTTTTATGCTATTATTGAAATTATGTGTGATTTAACTAAAATCGTGTTTGATGTGAACCGCGTCTCTCCTTCTGTCTGAATGCATAGCAAGTACTCCGAAATACCAACATCAAAAGATTAACCCATGTAGCACTGTTTTCAAAAGCTACATTTTATTGCACTATTGGTGGACGGTAACAGCTCAAGAGGTTCCTATATGGGCCTTGTTCTAGTAAAGTACTCCCTTCGTTTCTGACCTGACTCGACATGAAATTTAAAAATTAAGAAAGATTTTAGAAATTTACTATTTAAAATAAATCATAAATATTTATGTGATTATAAATCATCTCAATAATAATAAAGTAGAAAGTTTAAATTAAAATTATTCCAAAATAAGGATGACATTATCTTTAGAACATACCAAAAAGAAAAATATGATACTCTTAATTCCCTCCCAATTTACGTGAAGGTGTTCGGATTTCGAAGTCAAACGAATTAATATTTGATCATAATTTTTCATATGTCTTTTAAATATTTTAAATTATTAATTAGTGACTTGTAGTATATTTTATGTAGTTTTCAAAAATATAAATTTTAGTTTGAAAATTTTAAAAACTCTGTGTCCAAACTCTAAATATATCGTCAAAATTAAAAAGTTTGAATCTCGAACTAAATGGGTACATACAGAGAAAGTAATTGATATGTACTGTTCACTTACGCGGTTCTTGCTGCATGTATCTGCTTAGGGACCCTCTACAGCTCTTCAGTGGGGAACAGACCCCCTTATGCATCTTTCCGTTTTTGGCGGCTGACTTGAATATTTAACAACTAAAGAAAGACTAGCGTAGTGTCGCAGCTTTAAATAAGGAATGTTAAAAACAAAATATTTTAATATCTCAAAAATGTTATAAATATATTATATTATGAATATTCATTTAGTATTTTATTGTAAATAAGCTTACTGAAGAAATTTATCCACACGAGACTCCGCCGTAAATATGTTTATCTATTTAGTACTCTATTGGAAATAAGCCACCTAAAGAAGCTTATTCTTTCGGTACTCCGTTATGGATAAATATTACTCATGGTAGAAGATTATCTATATATGGCACAACATATTAGAGTAGCAGCTTACACATCAGCTTCCTTTCTTCTATAAAAAGAGGAGAATTCAGTTCATTATATACAAAAGTTTGAAGTTTGAATAATATATCAGTTTCTCACTATACTTGTCTTTACTTTACTGTCTTTATTTTATAACACGTTATCAGCACGAGACTCTGCCATCTCGAGAAAATACTTTGAAAGTATCATAGGTACGAACTTTTTTTTTCTAAATAATATCAAATATTTCTAAACTTGAGTTTGTAGCCCTCGATATATCGGGCAAAAGCTACATGTCTTGGGTGCTTGATGCCGAAATTTATCTTGATGCGATGGGTCTAGAAGACACCATCAAAGATAAAAATCAGGCATCAAATCAAGATCGTGCCAAAGGAATGATATTCCTACGCCATCACCTTGATAAGGGCCTGAAAATGGAATATCTTACTGATAAAGATCCAGTCATACTGTAGAATAATTTGAAAGATAGATATGACCACCTGGAGATGGTCGTTCTTCCACTGGCACGTTATGATTCGACTCATCTAAGGCTACAAGATTTTAAACTATCAGTGAGTATAATTCTGCTATGTTCAGAATTATTTCCCAATTGAAACTATGTGGTAGCAATATTACTGATCATGATATGTTAGAGAAAACTTTCACTAATTTTCATGCCTCGAATATGCTCCTGCATCAGCAATATCGAGATATGGGATTCAAAAAGTATTCTGAACTTATCTCACATCTTCTTGTAGCCGAGCAACATAATGGGATATTAATGAAAAACCATGAAAGTCGACCTACTGTTTCTTGTCCATTCTCTGAATTGAATGAGACGAACTTCCACCAAGCTAAGCGTGGAAGAGGACGTGGCCCCTGTCGTGGTCATGGCCATTGTCGGGGAGGAAACTCTAATCGTAGTAATAATAATGCACCAAAGAACCCTTCTCACCACCAGCAGTGGAAAAGGAAGGAACAAAAGCATGAAGCAGTACAAGCAGCAAAGCCAGAAAATGCATGCTATAGATGTGGAGGAAAATGGCATTGATCACGTACATATCGTACGCCAAAGCACCTGGTTGAGCTGTATCAAGCCTCCCTGAAGAAAACAGGGAAAAATGCTGAAGCAAATTTTATTTCTGAAGATAATTTAGACTTCATGCATTTAGATGTAGCTGATTATTTTGCACTCCTAGAAGGAGAAATAAGTCATGTGATCGGTAGTGAATCTGTAGAAATGTAAATATTTTAATTTTTGTTGTTTGTAGTAGATAGTATGGTTATGTAATTGTTGTACATAAATAAAAGTTATGCTTTGATAATAATATTTACTATCATATTTATTTTGTTTATGTCATTTTGAAGAATATGGATAATCCTCAAATTATGTTTGGATCAAAGACCAATCATGAAGATATTTGTGTAGTTGATAGTGGAACAACTCATGCCATATTCAAAGATCAGAAATACTTTTCTTATTTGCATAAGAAAAAAGCAAATGTTTGAACAATTTCTTGTAATATAAGTTTGATTGAAGGCTCCGGAAGAGCTATTGTATTTCTATCTAAGGGAACAAAACTTATTATTCACAATGCATTGTTCTCTTCCAAGTCCTAAAGAAACTTGTTGAGTTTTATAGATATCCGCCGAAATTGGTATCATGTTGAGACAATAGATGAAATGAACGTGGAATATCTATGTATTACAAAGAATATTTCTGGCGAGAAATACATTGTAGAAAAGTTGCCAACTTTATCTTATGGCTTATACTATTCAAAGATTAGTACAGTTGAAGTACACTCTATCGTAAACCAGAAGTTTACTGATTCAAATACTTTTGTGCTTTGGCATGGCCATTTGGGCCATCCTGGATCAATAATGATGAGATGAATTACTGAAATTTCGAGTGGGCATCCATTAAAGAACCTGAATATTCTTACAAATGATGAATTTTCTTGTGATGCTTATTATCAAGGCAAAATGATCACTAGACCATAACTAATGAAGGTTGATATTGAGTCCCCTGCCTTTTTAGAACGTATACATGGGGATATATGTGGACCTATTCACCCACCAAGTGGGCTGTTTAGATATTTTATGGTCCTAATAGATGCATCTTCAAGACGATCTCATGTGTGCCTATTATCATCTCGCAACCTGGCGTTTGCTAAGTTATTAGCCCAAATAATTCGATTAAGGGCACAATTCCCAGATTATCCTATAAAGGTTATTTGCCTTGATAATGCTGGAGAATTCTAATCTCAAGCTTTTGATAATTACTGTCTATCAGTTGAAATAAAAGTTGAACATCCTGTAGCTTATGTTCATACTCAAAATGGCCTTGCAGAGTCATTTATTAAACGGGTGCAATTGATAGCAAGACCACTATTTATGAAAACAAAATTGCCCACTACTATTTGGGGCCATGCTATCTTGCACGCAGCATCACTTATCCGTCTCAGACCAACACATTATAATAAATATTCTCCGTCAGAATTAGTTTTTAGTCATGAACCAAATATTGCCCATCTACAAAATTTTGGATGTGTTGTATATGTGTCAGTAGCACCACCACAGTGTAGTAAGATGGGCCCCCAAAGAAGGTTAGGAATATATATTGGGTTTGAATCACCCTCTATTATTCGCTATCTTGAACCATTTACGGGAGATTTATTTACTACACAATTTGCAGATTGTCGATTTGAGGAAACAAATTTCCCACAATTAGGGGGAAAGAAAAAAGAAATCAAAAGAGAAATTATATGAAAAGTTTCATCATTATCTCACTTTGATCCACATACCCCTATATGTAATCAGGAGGTCCATAAGATCATCCATTTACAGAATATAGCAAATCAAATGCCAGACGCATTTACTGAGTTACATAAATGATGTTATTTGTCCATGTATTTTTATAAAGAAAATGGCATCCGAATTTGGTATACTTGATGTTTATGTTGATGACATAAATCTTGTTGGAACTCCAGAAGAGCTCCAAAAGGCAATTGAATATCTTAAGAAAGAATTTGAGATGAAAGATCTTGGAAAGACAAAACTTTGTCTTGGTCTGCATATTGAACATTTAGCAGACGAGATCTTTATCCATGAATCTGCCTATATAGAAAAGGTCTTAAAACGCTTTTACATGGACAAAGCGCACCCATTGAGTACGCCAATGGTTGTTCGATCACTTGAAGTGAATAAAGATTTATTCCGACCTCCAGAAGAGGATGAGGAACTCCTTGGTGCCGAAGTACCCCATCTCAGTGCAATTGGTGCACTAATGTATCTTGGTAATGCTACAAGGCCTGACATAGTATTTTCTGTTAATTTACTAGCAATATATAGTTCTTCTCCTACACGGAGATATTGAAACGGGATTAAGCATATATTGCGATATTTAAAGGGAACTCTTGATATGGGTTTGTTTTATGCTAACAAAGATACTGCAGATCTTGTTGGTTATGCAGATGCAGGTTATTTATCTGATCCCCATAAAGCTAGATCTCAAACAGGGAATGTGCTTACATGTGGAGGTACTATCATATCATGGCGCTTCACAAAGCAATCTATTGTTGCTACTTCTTCAAATCATGCTGAAATAATAGCTATTCATGAAGCAAGTAGGGAATGCATATGGTTGAGATCGATAATTCATTTTATTCGAGAAAAATATGGTTTGAAATGTGAGAAAAGACCCACAATTTTATACGAAGACAATGCTGCATGCATAGCCCAATTGAAGGAAGGATTTATAAAAGGAGATAGAACGAAGCACATTTCACCAAAATTATTCTACACACACGATCTTCAGAAAAATGATAACATTGATGTGCAAGATTATTCACAAAATCTTTACCAACTTCAACTTTTGAGAAGATGGTATACAAGATAGGAATGCGGCGACTCAAATATTTGAAATAAGGTTTTCATCAGGTGGAGTAAAATATGCAATGTACTCTTTTTTTCTTACTAAGGTTTTTTCCCACAGAGTTTTCCTTATAAGGTTTTTAATGATGCAGCTAGCAATGCGTATTACTAAATATGTGTACTCTATTCCCTTCACTAGGATTTTTTCCCACAGAATTTTTTCCTAGAAAGGTTTTAATGAGGCACATTGTCTTTTAATAAACAACCAAGGGGGAGTGTTATAAATATATTATATTATGGATATTCATTTAGTACTTCGTTGTAAATAAGCTTCATAAAGAAGCTTATCCACACGAGACTCCACCGTAAATATGTTTATCTATTTAATACTCTATTGGAAATAAGCCTCCTGAAAAAGCTTATCCTTTCGGTACACCGTTATGGATAAATATTACCCATGGTAGAAGATTATCTATATCTGGCATAACAGATTAGAGTAGCAGCTTACACCGCAGCTTGCAGTAGCAGCTTACACATGAGCTTCCTTTCTTCTACAAATAGAGGAGAATTCAGTTCATTATGCACAAAAATTTGAAGTTTGAATAATATATCAGTTTCTCTTTATACTTGTTTTTACTTTACTGTCTTTATTTTATAACAAAAAAAATATTTAATGTCTAGGTTCATTCTTTTAATGGGTCTTTATTAGACCAATCAATTTGAATATATTTTGATGTGTATAATACATTAGAATAATTTTGAATATAATATTTTATTAATATTGAATGGGTATCAAAATCAATTATTTTTTGTAACTTTGAATTTAACCAAAGTTGGTCTTGTACGACCGCTTCATTAACGTTGATTTTGATAACATTTCCTTAACTTTGATAATAATGTTTCTTTGGTCTTAAATAATTATAACGTTGATTGCCTTAAATGAATTTGACGTTTTGGCATTGAATCCTAGATGGATTTTAACGTTTTTCATTACATCAGACGTCCATCACCTTTGGACTATATATAAAAATATTTGTTTGTGTTCATTTGTAGTAGAGGGAAAACAAACTTAAAACTTTTCTTCCCTTTTCTTTTTTGCTGGATTTTTTTGCTGATTAATCTTTGTTGTTTCTGCTCCTAATTATACTAAAAAAACTTGTTGAATCCTGGGGGATACGCCTAATAATATTCATCACGGTATGGGCAAAATATCTTTAAAGACAGTGTCCTTGACATGCCTCAAGATAAATTTTATTCTCCATAATCCAATATTTTACAACAATCTTAAGGATATTTCCACATTGTTACTATGAAGAATAACGCTGCTAATGTTGTTGTTCATGCTACCACACCCGTTGCACCTACTTTTTTCTATTGATGTTCCATCACCAATTACCTATGCCAAACCTTTCCTTAATGTTTCGGAAATTGAGGTTTTTGGTGGAGATAATTTTAAGCGCCGGCAAGAACGCGTGTATTCTATTTTAGATATGCATGGAGTTGCTTTCTATTTTAGATATTTACAATCCCAAATTCATATATTTAACATACAACTTGTAGAGATTACTTACCTCATGATTGACGATGAAAATGGCACTCCAAAATCGCTCCAAGCCCGGCTCCCATGGAAGAAATGAAATGAAAATGAGCCAAACTCACGTACTTAAACTAGTCTTCTGCCCAGCAATCATCGCACATGCGGTCACTTGACCGCTTCTGCGGTTCCGCAAGTGCGGCAAAAATTTCTGCTTCTATGGTTCCCTTCAGGTCTTTCCTCCTCCGCATCTGCGAGCAGGCTTTTGCACATGCGAAGGCGCACCTGCGCCCGTTCCTCCATTTCTGCGTAACTACCTCCTCTTCCCCAATTTCGCTTCTGCGTCCAACAGCCCACACCTATGGGCTCACATGTGCGGTGGATGTTTTCGCATCTGTGAATCCAGCCAACCTCAATCCCCTACGCTTTTGCGACCCTTTTGGCCGCAGGTGCAATTGCACCAGATCTCAGATGCCTCAGCAATTCGTCCAATCCCAAACTCGATTTGTTTCCAATATGATTCGCACCCGAGCTCCTTGGGACCCTGTCCAAGCATACCAACACATCCCAAACACGATATAGACTTAGTCGAAGCCTAAAACCACGTCAAACAACATCAAAATTACTAATTGACAATCAAAACCTTTCTTTAAACTTTCAAACATTCAAACTTCGCCGAACGCATCCGAATCACACTTAAACTGACGCCAAACTTTACGCACAAGTCATAAATCACAATACGAACCTATTCCAATGCTCGGAACCTTAAACAGACATCGATAATACCAAAGTCCACTTCAAATCAAACTTAAGGAATTCTTAAACTTTCAAAAGGTTAACTTTCCATAATAAACGTCGAAATACTCCCGGACCACCCGATACTTAACTCGAACATATGCCCACGTCCGAAATTATCATACAAACCTATTGGGACCTTCAAATCCTGATTCTGAGGTCGTTTACTCAAAAGTCAAACCATAGTCAATATTTCCAACATAAAGCTTCCGAATTTAGAATTTCTTTCCAAATGAATTCTGAACTTCCCGAAATTAAATTCTGACTACGCGTACAAGTGATAATACATGAAGTGAAGCTACTCAAGGCCTCAAACCGCCGAACGACACGCTAGATCTCAAAACGACCGGTCGGGTCGTTACATTCTCCCTCACTTAAACATACGTTCATCCTCGAACGTGCTAAGAACTGCTCCGAAGTTGCCCCAAAATCACCGTTCAACACGTTATGCACCTACCCGTGCCACCACAACCCAGTTGAGCCCTTTAGTTCAAGTCAGACGACAGATTCTCCCTGCTATTTAGCTAATAAGCCTTAGAACCAAATTCCAACCTCCGAATTCCTCTACAAGACCTGATTCTAACATACGAACACCGTATCAATCACCACATATTGTACAAAACATGATCATGCACCCATGTTGTCATCACACTAACCTGAAGCCCATAGAATACCTCATAACACATATAAGCCATATTCCACACCCGTTGCACCTACTTTTTTCTATTGATGTTCCATCACCAATTACCTATGCCAAACCTTTCCTTAATGTTTTGAAAATTGAGGTTTTTGGTGGAGATAATTTTAAGCGCTGGCAAGAACGTGTGTATTCTATTTTAGATATGTATGGAGTTGCTTTCGCACTTACTGATCCTAAGCCAAATGAAGCACCTTCCATTCAGATGGATTAATAGATTCAAGCTAATATGGAATGTAAACATACTATAATTTCTACTCTTTCTAACGAATCGCTCGATGTTTACTTTTCCTACAAGGAGGCAAAAGAAATTTGGGAATCAATGATAACAAAGTACACTGTTAAAGACGCTACAAACAAAAATTCATTATTGGAAACTACTACAAGTGGGAGATGACGGAGGATAAGGACATAACTACACAAATCAACGAATATCAGAAGTTGATTGAAGATCTCAAATCTAAAGATATCTCTCTGTCCGGATAGTTTGTTGCTGGTATGCTTATTGAAAAACTTCCCAAATCTTAGAGTGACTGCAAACAACAATTGAAGCACAGACACAAGCAGTTATCATTGAATGACTTGGTCAAGCATATTATAATTGAAAATACCAATCGCAAGCAAATTATTTCTGACAAAGGAAAGGAAATTGCTACAAGAGCCAACCTTGTGGAGGACAATAAGCGGCAGAACAAATCAAACAACAGGTGTGATAAAAGAAATGGTTATAAGCCCAAAACCAACAATCAAACCTTCAAGAAAAAAAAGAAATTGCTTTGTGTGTGGCAAACCTGGTCACCATGCTGCTCAATGTTGGAAAAGGGCTGGGAATGACAATCCCGCTAAGGCTATAGTAAATTTAACTGAAGCCAAAGCGGATGATCTAATTGTTGCAGTTGTTTCCCATATGAATCTAATGGCCAATGTGAAAGATTGGGTGTTAGATTCTAGTGCCACTAGGCACATATGAGCTAACACAAAAGACTTTGTGTCTTACACCCTAGTTGAGGAAGGAGAAGAAGTTGTACATCTTGGTAACTCAAGGACTGCTCCAATTCTTGGAAAAGGCAAAGTTTTTCTCAAACCCACATCTGGCAAAACTTTGGCATTGAATTATGTATTACATGTTCCTACTATCCGAGCCAATTTGGTCTCTGTGGGATTATTAGAAAAAGTGGGGGTGAAGGTTTCTTTTGAATCAGATAAGGTCATGTTTGTCATAACCCGAAATCCATTATAGGCCGCGATGATGCCTAATACCACCGTCAGACAAGCCAACGGTGGTTGATCAATTTAATTACTTTCTAAATCACAAATTTTAAAAAAGAAATTACACTTTTAAATATATAGGAATGTACAAAATTGTAGTTTGTAAGAGAAATGATAGGCGATGATAATATACAGAACCGTAAGCATCAACTAGTATATCCCAAAACTCGGTGTCACAAGAACATAAGCATTTACTAAGGAATGCAATAATAATACAATATCTGTCTAGAATGTAAATGATACATGATAAATTATAATACGATGGAGACTCTGTGGACTACGATGTGTAGCATGGAATGTAACTCACATAAAGTATCCTCAACAGTTGCGCCTACGCGCCAAGATGATCACCAAATGAACTTGTCAGATCCTGTACATTTAGTGCAAAAGTGGAGCATGAGTACATAAATCAATGTGTACCTAGTAAGTATCTAGCCTAACCCCGGAGCAGTAGTGACGAGGGATCGACATCGACACTTACTAGTTTTCCAATAAATAAACATGGTAAATTATAAGCAGATAAGAAGCACAACAGTAATAGTGAGGTGAAACTGTAATTAACAAAATCTTCCAAAAAAATTTTCTAACGATATCAATTTCTCAATTTCGTATTCTATCTCAACAGCTCAGAAATATCAAGTTTCAATAACAAATAGATAAGAAATACCATATAAAATGCAAGGCATCAGTGGACAAAAAAACTCGCGAATATTCGGATTGCTAGCGATATAATGCACGATTATACCGAGGTAGTATGGTCAGATCTCAGAAAGAGTATGATACTACTGAGGCGATGGCCCGATCCCATCATATCGTGTACACTGTCGAGGGTCGAGCGGAACGAATCATAGATGCATCTATTATACTGCCGAGGCGAACGTCCCGTTTTTATGAGAGTGTGGTACATAATCCTGTCGAGACATTCATCCCGCTCTACAAGAAAGGAAAGGATTTATCAAATTACGAGATATGAGCTTACGATACAGTATATGAACACAAGGTGGGTATAACCTTTACTTTTTCTCAAATAACTTGCCAACAACTCGAGGCAATAAAGCTCCGCCTAATATATAGTATGTATATATTTCCAAATTAAATTCAATTATATTTTCAGTTAATTAAGCAAGCCGAATGAATTCAAATATTTCAAGTATTACATAGTAAAGTCCTAAGTCTACCCGATCGTAAATATGCTTTCGCTACGTACAGACTCTCATCACCTCGTGCGTACGTAGCACCCACAACTATTAGCACATAACAATTACATCACCTAGGGGGTAGTCCTCCCCCCCCCCACAAAGTCAGACAGGACACTTACCTCGCTCTGAAGTTCCATAACCGGATCCAACGCCTCTCTAACACCTCAACTCAAAGCCAAACGTCCGGAAACTAGTAAAACAACGTGTAAATCAATCAAAATATACTCCAATGCTTACAATTATTTATAATGATTCCCAACTCCGCTCGAAAAGTCAATAAAGTCAACCCTCAGGGCCATGTGCCCGAATTCTGAAATTGTTCGAAGATAAAATTTATCCATTACATTACGAACTCAAATATATAATTTATTCCCAATTCCATGTCCAATTTTGTGGTAAAATCCAAAAATACCAATTTCTAGGTTTTCTCTTAAAATCCCACAATTTCAACAAATTTTCATGTATTTACAAGCCCAAATTCATATATTTAACACACAACTTGTAGAGATTACTTACCTCATGATTGACGATGAAAATGGCACTCCAAAATCGCTCCAAGCCCGGCTCCCATGGAAGAAATGAAATGAAAATGAGCCAAACTCACGTACTTAAACATGTCTTCTGCCCAGCGATCATCGCACATGCGGTCACTTAACCGCTTTTGCGGTTCCGCAAGTGCGGCCAAAAATTCCGCTTCTATGGTTCCCTTCTAGCCTCTTCTCCTCCGCATCTGCAAGCAGGCTTTTGCACATGCAAAGGCGCACCTGCACCCGTTCCTCCACTTCTGCGGTACTACCTCTTCTTCCCCAATTTTGCTTATGCGTTTAACAGCCCACACCTACGGGCTCACATGTGCGGTGGATTTTCTCGCATCTGTGAATCCAGCCAACCTCAATCCCCTATGCTTTTGTGACCCTTTTGGCCGCAGGTGCAATTGCACCAGATCTCAGCTGCCTCAGCAATTCGTCCAAGACCAAACTCGATTTGTTACCAATATGATTCGCACCTGAGCTCCTTGGGACCCTGTCCAAGCATACCAACATATCCCAAACTCGATACAGACTTAGTCGAAGCCTAAAACCACGTCAAACAACATCAAAATTACTAATTAATGATCGAAACCTTTCTTTAAACTCTCAAACATTCAAACTTCTCTGAACGCGTCTGAATCACACTTAAACTTTCCAAAATGACGCCAAACTTTACGCACAAGTCATAAATCACAATACGAACCTATTTCAATGGTCGGAACCTTAAACGGACATCGATAACACCAAAGTCCACTTCAAATCAAACTTAAGGAATTCTTAAACTTTCAAAAGGTTAACTTTCCATAATAAGCG